GGGGGGGGGGGGGGGGGGGGGGCTTAAAAGCTCCCGCAGTGGACTTTTCGAGGCTGAACGCCCTAAGAAGTACCAAAAGCACTCTTTTTAACCCCTGAAAGGCGCGATAAGCACCCCCCGTCCTTTATATATGGGAGTTCTCCCTGGGAAATAAAGCGGCTAGCAGTATCACGTCTTTCCGGTGTGGGATGTGATGTCTATTGCGGGAGAGTGCCTCAACATTTTGGTAAGGCGGACCTGACGAGTAACCGCTTCTGGTAAATTGGAGGCCTAGATCACATTTGATGGAAAATGAAAAGTCCCTTTAATTTCATACTTCACAGAAAATGAAATAAATGCATCATGTTTCACGAAAAAGGGGGGGAAATTTCTTCACAATCTTACACAACTAATTAGCATTTTAAACCTGATGTCCAAAGCTCAGCCTTGTTCGACATCTTCGCCTTTCCACCGCTAGTTGTCCAATGTTTATATAAGAGGAGTCGAAACTTGGAGGCATGATCAAAACCCGACTAATTAGACGATCATTCATCTCTTCTGGAGAAATTTTACTTTGGAAAACGAACGTTCACGACTTCTAACGAAATCACGATTCACGAGATATAAAGTAGACATTCCATATTTCACATTTCAAGGGCAAAAAATTAGGCCATTTACTTATCACGAAAATACCCTTTGCAATCCTTTTTATATTCAATTAGCTTACCACTCTTCTGCTGAGGATTTCAGGCAGGAACTCTCCGTATGTTATGACTTGGAGCTCCGCACCAACGATTTTTCGAGTTTCTTGAAAAATTCTCTCTGGGCCCCACCGGGTATTCTCACCAAAATAGTCAGCAATTCGGTTGTGTTCACGAACAAAAATTGTATGAACTGACATGAGGCCTGTGGACAGAAAAGCTTAGTAAGAGAGAGCAAGCAATTCCTAAAATAAGTTTATGTTTATTGCCTTCTTTGCTAGCTCCCATGTTAAAGCTTGCATGTTTTATCAAAACGTACACACCCTAGTCTTCAGATTCTTCGCAGCCGCGGTTACCTGGCTCGTCACGCGGCGCATCTCACTAAGAAGCTGTACTGGGGAGGTGTTGTGTGACAGAGACACAACGGCTAGGATTGTCCCTACAATCATTACACAGCATAAAAGACAAATTTAATGGAAATATCTAGACCGACCCTATATAGACCAGAGTTGAAGGCTGTGTTCTTGCCGTTGCTCAAACTAAAAAGGTACTCCTTGTCGCGTGCTTCCCAAATAAATAAATATGTTTTTTTACAGGAGTCAATCACCCGGAGCCTCAATCCGCACTGTAACGTAGGGTCAACCCTTTCCCGTATCATTCTATTTTTAGAACTGTAATAACCGCAAGGGTCTCTTGGTTTCCCACGAAATATCTTGTTTCTACAGATAGAAAATGCAAAACAGGGCCCACAAGTGGGATTTCAGTCTTTGTTGTAACAAAGAATGGTCTTAGCTCGGGTATAATTGGGTATTGATTAGGGGTCGTGTGAAAACTCCCACGAGAGCTGTTACTAAAAATAGAAGGATACGGGAAAGGGTTGACTCACAGGGTTAGTATGGGAGATAGAGGCTCCGGGTAATGGGCTCCTGGTTTTTTAGCAGTTTTTGTCAAAACAAGAAGGGTCTTTTTGTCTCTTTGTGGTTTCTTGTTGGTCTACAAAGAAAGAAAGAAATTCTTAGCGTGGGTTTGTTTACCAGTCTTACCTTGATTTTCGTTTACTCGTTCGTCTCCGGCATGAAAACATGGTCTGTTTGGGTCTCTTGACTCACACACCACTTCAGGCGGCTGTGCAGGCAACAGATTCGCCATGGGGCAGCCATGTGGAGGCTTCATAACTAGCATTCGGCCGTCAGGCGCCCGTAGTTCTTCAAGCAGCGAAATGTTTGAGCCATAAACATTAGACCCGTCGACATAGGCCGTTATTACGTTACTGTGCTCCCGGGTTATCGGTGTGCAATCGGTGTTGGGTTTATGCGGGGCATCCCTCTCAAATTCAAACTCGGTTACACCCCTATCACGAAATATGTCATCATCTTCTGGAACTTCAATATTGATACACTCCGGGTTGATGTTATATGGTTCACAATTCAGTCCCTGTGCCTCAGCCAGCGTGATGTCATGATCCATGAACTGGCCAAAGTTCATGGTCAAATGAGTCAATACGTTGTTATTGGGGTGTGGGCAGTCGTTGCTGCCGATGACATTAATACTTACATTCCTGGCATTCGGCAACTCATTTCCACTTTTCGCTCTGCGAATAGTCGACACACAGTCGCCATAATCAGCGGGTTCGAGGCGCAAGAATTTGTCTCCGACTGACCCCCAGCGAGGGTTAGCAAGATTGTTGCATGTTCCATCGATCGTTCGGAAACGGGCGTTCTCGTTACAGTTGATGTCTGGTTCTTCGTCGTGTAATTCGGCGGCAAAATACTCGAGTACTTTCAACTTGCACGCCCTTACTTGATCATCACTGTAAGAGGAGAAACGAAAGGGTGTTGTTTTGATTGTTTATCGGGCCTATTTTGGGGGGAACCGAACACAGAATCTGGAAAAGCGTACAGAGGTTGGGAATTACTGCATGCGCCTTACAATTACTGCGCCAATTACTGCGCCTTGGGAATTACATGGGGACTCTAAATTCAAAGCTCAACCGACAAATGCGTTTTTCGCTACCGTCAGTCAAATATTCGGCGGCTCCTCCCAGCTTGCGACTACTGCCTAGCACTGTTTCGTTCTCTGAACTGTGCTCACTGATTTGATTACTGCGCTCTTGGCAGTAGTCGGAAGCTGGGAGGAGCCGCCGAACATTTGATTGACGATAGCGAAAAACGCATTTGTCAGTTGAGCTTTGAATTTTAGAGTCCTCTTGTTATTGAATAGCCTGCGAACGCAAACGTATTTCCGGCTGTCACTTGGTTCCGCCGAAAAATAACGTCTGCGAACCCGAGCTAGGAAACGATTTCTGTGACGTAACGACTTTTGTTTCTCCTTGGCCAATCAGATTCCATGATAGAATGAAACTCGAGTGCTCCTCGCAGCGAATACCTCGCGCAGTAGTTCTGGGGTTATTTGAGCTAAACTGTGATTGGCTTAGAATTCCTACGTCACAGAAATCGTTTTCTGGCTCGGGTTCGCAGACGTTATTTTTCGGCCGAACCAAGTGACAGCCGGAAATACGTCTGCGTTCGCAGGCTAGTTATTGAAAGGTAATGGTGGTAATGTAACTCTGCTGCGCATGCTCTTTGACAACTAATGTAACGAACGAGACAAGAGGGTTAACGACGGCAATATTACGCTTTGGAACGGCGCTAAGCGTCGTCAGTAGAGTTTCAAAGTCTTTAAGGTCCCACTATTTGGCTTGATTCCAATCCAACGGGTTTTTTCCCTAGCCAAAAATCTCCAAAGTAAGTTTTTTTTCCCTTCACTCTCTTATCTTCCCTTTTCGTACTCTTCTCGTTTTTCTTTATCGTTTGAAGATTTTTTTTCAAACCTTCAGGAGCTGTAACTGATCAAGGTTAAAGGTCTGCACTCTTTTCGTGAATCCAATCATATACACATATATATTGCAGTATAGTTGGCTTATGGCTCAGGCTTACCTGTTTGTATCGATGTTCAAATGAGTCAAAACGTCCGACTCTGCACAAAGTTTTTTTAGGACACAAGCACCGCAGACTTCACTCTGTCTTGCCTTCAGCCACGATTCGTCACTTGCGATGGACCCCTTTCCGTGCTGTAGTATCTGGTAGTCTTTGTTCAGAGCCTTCAGGAACGCCTCTCTCTTCTCGGCTATCTCTTTCTCAGGAATCTTGTTTTGGGTGTCCAACTTACAATCATCTACAAACTCCAGCATCTTGTTTTCGAGGAAGTCGCCTGAGCCTGGCGAAGCCACGCGTTTCGCTTGTTCTTCGTCTTTCTTCTTATTTTTCAGTTTATCCAGCCGGTTCATTTCATCGGTCATGTCTTCTACCGTGTCCTTTTCCCATTCCGACGGGAAAGCGTCATCAATCTTGTAAGATGTTGTCAGCCCCAAGCCCAGGACCACAACAAGAACCAAACCATTGGGGAAACGGCCCATCATGCTGACTAAAGAAGACACAGACATTTAAGTAAAGCTAGCTGCTAGTTGACGTTTAAAATAAATGTGTACCCTTTCTTTACTGCTGAAGAGCTTTCATTTGAATGTTCACAGACAATAGGTTTTATTTACTGACTTTATAAACAGCACCACATGAAAGTACTGCTCAATAGCTTTCATTTGAGTGGTCACACACTAGGGTTTTATCCACAGACTTAAAATTTAGAGCCACCTTGTACAGCGTAATAAACAGTACTAGCTACATGAAAGTACTGCTCAGTACCTTTCGTTTGAATGGTCACACACTGGGGTTTAATCCGCAAACTTAAAATTTAGAACCGTGTTGTACAGCATAGCCGGTAAAAGGTACCCCGTGAAACGACTGCTCATCTGCCTTCTTTTGAATTATCACACAAAAGGATTTTCTTCCACAGCCTTTAAAATGATTCAGGCTAAGAATAACTTTAACATATAGATCTAGCCAAGCCTAAAAGCGGAACTCCCGGGTCGGTTGGTCATAGTCAGAGCCTTATTAAGGTAAACCAGGATAAACGAAATTTTGATTTGAGTATTTTTAAGTTTTCTTTTCATATTGCTTGGCCTTCCGAGTCTGAATAATCTCAAACTACACAAAACAAAAGCAGTTAACAACGTTTATTTATACGTCAACGTCGTCGTCGTCGTGTCTACGTACCCACAAGCAACACCGTTAGCCGTTTTTACCAAGAAAAAAGCCATTCACGGGTTTCTTTGAGTATGGGGCTCCGCTTGGTGGCCCTTCGGGCCGCCGGAGCTCCGCTATAATTCTATATTGCATTAAGAGGTTTGACTGGCTGGAAGAAGAAAAGACAACGACAATCCCCTCATCTATTCACAGGGATGGAAAGCGTCTCATGGGATTCAAGTCAGACAGTATTCTAAAATAATCTGTATTGGTCACCCCTGACAATCACACTGATCTCTTATTGGAGGATCTATGTTGACGTCATTGTTTACATTTTTGCTCATTTGCTTTGCGTACAGAAGGAAACATGTTAGATATGAATGGACCTTTCCCGCATTCCACTTCAGTGCGTACGAACAATAGCGCCAGAGCGAGGTTGGGGTGGACATTTTCATACATTTACTGTATTTTTGTCCATCCTGACCTCGACTTGGCGCTATTGTTTTTTGGAATGCGGGAAAGGTCTATTGACTCCAGGCATATAAAGAGCTAGTGAAACTTAATATATGGTAAAATTTTAGCTCTTTGGGTGAGATATTCAAGGAAATATTGCCTTTCAAAAACTGCAAAATTTCTGGGTGGCCAAAGCGCTAATGAGCTCATACATTCTTTGTAAAATTTTGAGTTTTTAAACCTGTGTTGCACAGCTCCATCAGAAACTTAATTGCTTATGCTATAATGAGGCAAATATTGTAAACAAGGATTCCTCTATTGCGTTCTTTGCAAAACAATCTGCGATGTTTAAATTAATTGATGCACAGCATTCATAAATTTGTAACGAACAAATTTTATTCTGAGAAAGTAACCTTTCCTATATGTTTGGATCAATCGATTTTCACCTTATCTACACTGTACTGAGGAGAATCTTTGTTTACAATATTTGTCCATTAGCATAGACGATACAGTTTCTGATGGAGTTGCAAAAACATTACTTCTGAATATTGAAAGGGCACAGCACGATGAACTGTCCCAAGGAATTTGAGCCCGATGTATCGAATACGTTTTGTGCGACGCGTATTTAAAAGCTCAAAATTTTTACAAAGAATGTACGAGTTCATTAGCGCTATTGCCACCCAGCAATGTTGCAGTTTTTGAAAGTCAATTTCTCCTTGAATATTTCACCCATAGAAGCAAAAATTTCACCAATTACTAAATTTCACAAGCTCTTGAAATGTTTGTAGTCAATTCGTGTCTAGCGTGATGCCCTTACTGAGCAAAGTCGTATGTTAATGAAGAAAAATGTAAACAGTGACGTCAGCAAAGGTTTTGCTTGCCTCTTCGC